CGGTGTGTTCACTCACAGGATGAGTGGCGCTGCCCAATACTGTCACTATGGCGGTGTGTTCACTCACAGGATGAGTGACGCTGCCCAATACTGTCACTATGGCGGTGTGTTCACTCACAGGATGAGTGGCGCTGCCCAATACTGTCACTATGGCGGTGTGTTCACTCACAGGATGAGTGGCGCTGCCCAATACTGTCACAATGGCGGTGTGTCTACTCACAGGATGAGTGGCGCTGCCCAATACTGTCACTATGGCGGTGTGTCCACTCACAAGATGAGTGACGCTGCCCAATACTGTCACTATGGCGGTGTGTCCACTCACAGGATGAGTGACGCTGCCCAATACTGTCACTATGGCGGTGTGTCCACTCACAGGATGAGTGGCGCTGCCCAATACTGTCACTATGGCGGTGTGTCCACTCACAGGATGAGTGACGCTGCCCAATACTGTCACTATGGCGGTGTGTCCACTCACAGGATGAGTGACGCTGCCCAATACTGTCACTATGGCGGTGTGTCCACTCACAGGATGAGTGGCGCTGCCCAATACTGTCACTATGGCGGTGTGTCCACTCACAGGATGAGTGGCGCTGCCCAATACTGTCACTATGGCGGTGTGTCCACTCACAGGATGAGTGGCGCTGCCCAATACTGTCACTATGGCGGTGTGTCCACTCACAGGATGAGTGGCGCTGCCCAATACTGTCACTATGGCGGTGTGTTCACTCACAGGATGAGTGACGCTGCCCAATACTGTCACTATGTTGGTGTGTTCACTCACAGGATGAGTGGCGCTGCCCAATACTGTCACAATGGCGGTGTGTCCACTCACAGGATGAGTGACGCTGCCCAATACTGTCACAATGGCGGTGTGTCCACTCACAGGATGAGTGGCGCTGCCCAATACTGTCACAATGGCGGTGTGTCCACTCACAGGATGAGTGGCGCTGCCCAATACTGTCACTATGGCGGTGTGTCCACTCACAGGATGAGTGGCGCTGCCCAATACTGTCACTATGGCGGTGTGTTCACTCACAGGATGAGTGGCGCTGCCCAATACTGTCACTATGGCGGTGTGTCCACTCACAAGATGAGTGACGCTGCCCAATACTGTCACTATGGCGGTGTGTCCACTCACAAGATGAGTGGCGCTGCCCAATACTGTCACAATGGCGGTGTGTCCACTCACAGGATGAGTGGCGCTGCCCAATACTGTCACTATGGCGGTGTGTCCACTCACAAGATGAGTGGCGCTGCCCAATACTGTCACTATGGCGGTGTGTCCACTCACAGGATGAGTGGCGCTGCCCAATACTGTCACTATGGCGGTGTGTCCACTCACAAGATGAGTGACGCTGCCCAATACTGTCACCATGGCGGTGTGTCCACTCACAAGATGAGTGGCGCTGCCCAATACTGTCACTATGGCGGTGTGTCCACTCACAAGATGAGTGACGCTGCCCAATACTGTCACTATGGCGGTGTGTCCACTCACAGGATGAGTGGCGCTGCCCAATACTGTCACTATGGCGGTGTGTCCACTCACAAGATGAGTGACGCTGCCCAATACTGTCACTATGGCGGTGTGTCCACTCACAAGATGAGTGGCGCTGCCCAATACTGTCACTATGGCGGTGTGTCCACTCACAAGATGAGTGGCGCTGCCCAATACTGTCACTATGGCGGTGTGTCCACTCACAGGATGAGTGGCGCTGCCCAATACTGTCACTATGGCGGTGTGTCCACTCACAAGATGAGTGGCGCTGCCCAATACTGTCACTAAAGCGGTGTGTCCACTCACAGGATGAGTGGCGCTGCCCAATACTGTCACTATGGCGGTGTGTCCACTCACAGGATGAGTGACGCTGCCCAATACTGTCACTATGGCGGTGTGTCCACTCACAGGATGAGTGGCGCTGCCCAATACTGTCACTATGGCGGTGTGTCCACTCACAAGATGAGTGGCGCTGCCCAATACTGTCACTATAGCGGTGTGTCCACTCACAGGATGAGTGGCGCTGCCCAATACTGTCACTATGGCGGTGTGTCCACTCACAGGATGAGTGGCGCTGCCCAATACTGTCACTATGGCGGTGTGTCCACTCACAGGATGAGTGGCGCTGCCCAATACTGTCACTATGGCGGTGTGTCCACTCACAGGATGAGTGGCGCTGCCCAATACTGTCACTATGGCGGTGTGTCCACTCACAGGATGAGTGGCGCTGCCCAATACTGTCACTATGGCGGTGTGTCCACTCACAGGATGAGTGGCGCTGCCCAATACTGTCACTATGGCGGTGTGTCCACTCACAGGATGAGTGGCGCTGCCCAATACTGTCACTATGGCGGTGTGTCCACTCACAGGATGAGTGGCGCTGCCCAATACTGTCACTATGGCGGTGTGTCCACTCACAGGATGAGTGGCGCTGCCCAATGCTGTCACTATGGCGGTGTGTCCACTCACAGGATGAGTGGCGCTGCCCAATACTGTCACTATGGCGGTGTGTCCACTCACAGGATGAGTGGCGCTGCCCAATACTGTCACTATGGCGGTGTGTCCACTCACAGGATGAGTGGCGCTGCCCAATACTGTCACTATGGCGGTGTGTCCACTCACAGGATGAGTGAC